TAGCTATTCTTGAACAGTATTCTCAATTTCTGGGTCCCTCATAACTTTTCTCCTCTTCCGTGTATTAATGAATATTTCAATGAGAAATACTACTTACTGGCTAACATCTTAACCAGGACTCGAAATTTCTCATTTTCTCTAATTTCAAGAGAGTGTGACTGAGATTCTTCCCCCCTCATTCTAAGACTGCCTTTTCCAGACCAGCAGAGCTATAGATGATGAAAGGGTTCTATTTCCCCATTTAGCCTTGGCTCCTTCAGCTGTCCTCCTGGTTTTGGTGGGACCAGAGCTCTGGCAGTGTCCTCCTGGCTCGTGGCTGGGTGTCTTTGCCCTCCATGCTTAAGTTAAGTGTTGACAGTGCCAGGAAAGGATCCTAAGTCTGACTTCTTTGAACCTGTCAGGTCTTGGAACGTGCCTGGGTTTTGAACTTGGGAAGACTTGCATCCAGATTTCCACTCCACCATTTACTAGTTTTTGATGTTCAGCAAATGCCATTACGTGTATCTTTTCCTATATAATATGGCAGTACAATACCCATATGTTTTGGTTACTATGAGGCTTACAGAAAATTAAGTATTAAACTTGGAAAATACCTGGCACGAAATTGGGTGCTCAATAAATGATGATGGTGGTGCTATAATTGTTCTTATCCAAATAATTAATATAATAAAGTCATAGTCTTGATATTGTGGCCCACCACAAAATGAACAAAGAATGGTGAGGCTCAGGTTGTGTTATCTATGCTAACCCCTCTCCTGCAACTGCATTTATAAGCCTGCAGTTAATTCTGTGCATGACTTTTATAACATTGCTTTCCTTTCCATGCTTCCATTTCCTTGTAAAATAAGGACACAGAACTATATCAGAGCAGCAAATAGGCTTAATCTCTTATATCAACTCCAGTTGATCAGTAGTGGGTACCTGAAAAACAGATTTAAAAAAAAAAATAAAACTCTGAGACCTTGTCTGGGCTCAGCAGATAAGTTTGCCATGATCTATTAGCAATGGCTGCAATGGATAGAAAGGCTGGTGGCAGCTATTCTGAAATTCTCCAGGCCTGGACTAAATGCTCTCTAAGACCCTCCTCAGCCCTCAGTCCTCTGATTTGTTATCAGGGTCTTTTTGATGGGCCTTTGTAGCTGGCTGACATCCTATCCTTCCAAATGAATATTCAGTGCCATTGGAGTAAAAGGTATATGAGTAGTTCAGTTAAGAATCTGGATTATATATCAGTAAAAATAAATACAAATCAATAAAAAAAAATCCGAAAGGGAAGTGGTTGATTAGGCAGCTGCTTCTCTGAATGGGGCAGGTGTTTCTTGGAGACTGCATTGCAATTTGAGTCTAAAAAACAAAGCATTTTCATCAAAAGGGCAAACAGGATGGTTCCCTAAAGTCATGCATGCAAACCATTGCCCAGTGATGCCATGAGGAGTTGGAATATCATTTTGTGTAGGTTTCTGTCAATAGTATTTAGCAATGAATACACTGATGGGTCTTCTGAAACCAGAAAAAGTAATTTTCTGAACTGCAACAAAAAGTTACAGGTTTCTAACCGTTGTGTAATTATGTGACTGTGTGCCACAGATAGATTATTTTAGAAATTGATTTAACCACTTCCTTTGATATTTGAGATCTAAGATAAAGGTGCCTTGTTTCAGGGGTACTTGGTTAACTCAGGCGAAGAGACCTGATTTGTATGAACCTTCAGGAAGAAATCTGTGTGTGCATCACTTTTTAGTCTTCCCATTTTTGTAAGGAAAAATAAAACACTTAGTAATCCACTGGCATTTTATAATCTTAAGCAAAAGATTCTTCCTGACACTGCAGGAAGATTATACAAATATTTGCCTTATTCGTAAAAGCTTTTCAGATATAGAGTTGATTCTAGGTCTTCCTTCTCCAAAATCTCTATGGCAGGGTACATTCTTCATGCCCCCTCTTTTTATGCCTAACTGCAGACAGATACAATATCTGTTTGTGAATTTATGATCCCTGGCAAAGCAAAAAAACCCTATCTGTAGTCATACTGTTCTACTAAATATAATGAAAGAACTATATTTTTAGTTTTCGCAGAAACAATCAACACTGAACGTGATTTTTGTCCACAGTTTACCCTCAGTAAGGCTCTGTAACAGAAGGACATTTTTATAAGGGAATCTATGAATATGACAGCAGCAATAAACAGCTGAAAATAATCTATGAGGCGTTTGCAAATTACCCCTCATGAGCTGTAGTGGTTGTGAAAGATAATTTGTGGTTCTCACAGAATACCCTGCAAATTGGGTCTTTCATCTGCAATGTTTTTTACAGTTAAAACATTTCATTTCTCATATTAACAAATGATAACTCTGCATTTGTTAATCTAAACAATTTGATTTATATTTTTTCTGTGCTGAGAAGCTGTTGACATTTCAGGATAAGTAATTATTTTCATTGCCAACTGCTGTTTGTGGTGACTGTAGGCAAAAGATAGAAATCTGAATGTAAGTGTGCATCATTTTAATCATTTTCCTGAAGACTGCCCATAAAGCAGGAAGTCTATTTGCCTGAGTTATCCTCTGTACTTAGAAATCTGAAAGGATGTGAGTGTTGACAAGCAAGGATTCTAGTCACATTCAGGGTTTTCTGTGGTGGGTCAGAAACCCCCCTCATGTAATCTCTGTGGGTAGCGGAGACAGGGTTGATCTCCACTGTCACCAAACCTCTGGTAGGGCGTAATACGCTTGCAGACTTAAATCACTGCCGTAAGAGGAAGCATGCGTTATTGGCCTCAGTAGGTCTCAGGGAATATAATATTTGTTCAAGTGGCTCATGGGGTGGGTGTCAGGATTACACAAGAATACCTTGCCCCATGCCTGGTACACGGTACACGGTGTGAGCTCTGGAAACATTTGGTGAAACTGGGACAAGGTATAAAAACATACACAATTTCTTTCTCACATTGCCTTCTCGGCCAGGCATATCCAGTCCAGGGCCATGGAAAGAAAGGTTTTTTTACTTGGAAAGTAGTCACTACATCCTTAAAGAAGGATGTTGAGCTTTACCCACTGGATGGCCAATGGAAAGGAGGTGCCAGGGCCTGGGACAGAGCTGATGCATCAGCAGGCTTTCCTTGGGGTCTTTTTTTGATCTACGATTTAAGGTATTCCAGTTTATTCTGATATGCAGAAAGAAACTTACCAGCAAAGTTTGAACTTTGTCCCCTAGAAAAATCATCGAGCAAAATTGTTGCTCTAGCAAGGTGGTCCATCTTTAGCCTCTGGGTGTGTGGGGCCCACACTAGCTATGAACCACCACGGCCGGTGTAGATTGCCTCTGTGATTGTTAGGGGTGTGTCACAGTGAGACCTACACAGTAGGGTGTGGCGGCTGTGTCCATTTCCCTGTGTCTCTCCCATGCACATGTGACCCTTCCATTCACATTTCAGTTAGAGAATGGACTACTGATTTAGGATCCAAACCAATCATTACATAGCCTGAAGGAGTGAATGTAGAGCCAGTACCCTGAATGGCAAATGTGTTTTATCCTTTGAACCAACTCCAGTTGATTAGCTCTGGCTGCCTCTAGTGCTGTCTTAAGAAGGCATCTGTGGTGCTGAGCTAGGAGGAGTGCTGGGATTGATTAGCAATGTCTGTCATGGTCTCTGGCGGGACAGTGCCCCTGTATTTGCCATTCTCTGCTTTTAACATGTCCGTGACTCCTCTGTGCTCTCTTCTTGTGTAAAATAATTTTAATACTAACAAGTGACTATGTATGAGCTGGGGCATCATGAGAGAGAACAGGTAGATTCCACTTTAAGAAAACTTAGCATGAGGAAATGCAAATTTACGAAATGCATAAATCTGGAGCCAATTATTTCTATTACAGAAAGATTCCATGAAAGGTTCCTTTAAATAGCCAGCTCCCCTACTGCATTAAAATGATGATTCAATTTACAAAAATTTACTTTGCATGCAACTCTTCAAGACCATGTCTGTGGATTAAAGCCAGCCACACCTGATTTTTTTTAAACCATGGCCTAAATAATGTTCAGGATAGCTGCCTCCACCTATCTTGAGTCTCTTGGTAATTTCCCCTCTCTTCAGTCTTCCTTCATACTCCTGTCTCAGTGTGGGGAGTGGACAATCTGGGTGGTGGACAACAGCTGCTGGCTTCCACCCTGACACGGCTGCATTTCATTAGTGGGTAAACTGATTGCTCTGAGTATGTTTATGCATGGGTGTGGCTGTATAACTCCGTGCACTCTGTGCGCTATGTATGCAGATACAGATACACAAAAGTCATTATCTCGCTCTCAGCCCGACCTAAATTCATTCCTGCTGTGAGAGTTATAAATGGAAGGTTCCAATCCCTTGGTGGATATGGCCTTTTGGTAATATCTGCCCCAAATTCTGGCTCCCCATCCCCTTTGTGTTTGTTTACATATTATTTACCCTTGCATCAGAAAACTTCCTCAGACTGAGGACCTGAGTCCCATTATCCGGACATGGAATCTTCCTCTTCCTCTGCGGCCTAGAAAGCCCCAAATGGTTTTCTGATTTACAAAATTAAATATACTCTGACTCTTGTGGCAAGCTATGAAATTTCCAACCAACAGACGCTTCCATTAAACATATAACATATACAACATCTAAAAGTATCACTGATCTACCATGAATTATAGAGGCATTCAATGCCCCTTGGGTAAGATCACCAGCCTCTTCCCAGGCACTGAAAATTGGGCAGTTTCCCAATGGACCATAAAGCTCCCAGGAATGCTGACTGGCATGTGTGTTTGAATTTCTGTTGCTCTGTAAAAAGAACTTAATCCACATAAGAGTACCTGGAAGAGATGGTATCTTCCCTTTCTCCATGTGTGTCCTACCTCCACATAGAATTGTCGTAATAACTTCTCAGGTCCAGAGCACAGGTATCATCTCTATTTCACCTATGGTATTTTTAAAATCTTAACATAAATTCCTCCCCAGGAATATTTTTTACACACCCTTTTTTTTTTTTCTTTTGGCAAAAGCAAAATGAGCCTAACAGTGAACGCATCAGCCCTACTTGGACACGATCTTCTAGCCTTCAATAACCAGTCCTACTTGAGACACAGGCTCTCACGCTGGTGAGCTGTCAAATTGCTCTTTTGCTTCTGCCTTCCCAGGTTCATTGGTTTGAGCCAAGGGTCCCCCATGGTACGTGGCTGTGATTGCTGCATAGGTGCAGCCGTAGATGGCAGCTGCCAACATCATGAGACACACGATCCCACATACAACCCCAGTGATGATGACGGTGGCAATGGCATGACGCAGGTTGGCCGGCCTTGGCTTCGGTTTGAGCTCGCACTCCGAGAGGTCTTGCTCCCCCGAGTTGTGATTCTCAGGCCTCAGGACCACCCCATGGGCAGAGCCCTGCCACTGAGCCTGTGAGAACACTGGATGAGGAGCAGGAAGAGGGCAGGGCTGGTACAGCTCATAAGGGATCCTAAGGAGGTCCTTTCCCTTCCAGATGTCTGGTGATCCACAGATGATGCCATCTGTTATTCCCCCTTTAAAAAACAAAAGCAAAGGACAATAACAGAGCCTTGATACAATGGAGTTCCGGAATCCTCCGCCTGCAAAAACTTAAGCAGATGGAATTTATGAAGTACCTTTTTTTTTTTTTTTTAAAATCCTGGAGTCAAAGAATTTAACAACCACATTTTATGATTTTAGGATTTCTAAATTGGCTAAATACTAAAAACACCACACACTAAATTGGCAATTATTTATGACCAAGAATTCATTAGAAGCCCAGTTACCTTCTCATTCTATAAATGCTCAGGGAAAACAATGCAAAAGCTGACAAGGCGTGCTGGGGGCCCACAGCGAGGTCACCGCTGCCTACCGTGTTCCTGCCGCGCACGGCCCTCGTGAGCCCCACAGACAAGAAATCTTTTGTACCAGATTCCCATGGAAAATCTAAGGAGAAAATAAAACAAGTATGCATTGTTGTGATGTTGTGTGTCAGTTACGAAGACCCCGTGTGTTTCAGTGCTGTTCGGTGATGCCAAGTGGAGAGGTGGAATGGTCTTGGAGTGTTTTGTGGATTTGACAATACTGGAAGTTTTGTTCCTGGAATTAAGTATCATGAATGTTATCTCCTCAGGTCCCAGAACATTTACTGCTTTGAGTGCCCAACTTTCCAATGGGTTATTAAACCCAGTTTCCATTCCCTGTAAGGCGATTGGTTTCCTCAGGTGTGTAGACTGCTGGTGGGAAGGGGGAATTTAAGAGCACCGAGCTAGCAGACTCAGGTCTAGTCTAGTGTGACCACTGATTTACTCTTTGACTTTGGGAAAATGCACTTCGCTGATTACATTTTCTGCCATGAAATTTTCTGATTTGCCTCCAACTTGAAGGTTTACAAAGCACCATTAGATAAGTCCTAATATTTCAGTCTTGTAGGTAACTCTTGTCCAGACTTACAGAGGTCATGAATGATGAAACAACATCCAGATCCAGCTCTCCATGCTCGGTCCAAGTTTTTTCCACTACACTCACTGCCTCTCCACGTCCCCCTCTCAGCAGTGTCGTGAGGTCAGAGGAGTGGGCAGGATGCCCCTTGTCAATGTCTGCTAGGAAGCCCTCTGACTAGACAGAACTGCCCCATGACCTGTGCCTCGATCCTCTCAGGCTGCCAGAAGCACCTCCCGTAGGCGAGCTGCAAAGACCGGCACCGCTGTTAGCAAAGTTAGGTTGGAGTTTCTTAGTACATGCAGTAAGTGAATGATGAAATTATAACAGAAAGATATATGCAGAGGTCATATTCAAAGACATATGCAGAGGTCACTTCAACATTATTAGCACTCTCCATTGCATGGAACTTCACAGTTTTAGCAATGCTTTCGCATTCATTCTCTCTCAGCCGGCCAGGTAAGTCCTAAGTGGCCCTGTAAGTAGATAGGGCCTATCTTGCCGTGCAAGGATTGTCAGGTGGTTCTGACATACCAGGATGAATGGCAGTGGCAAAAATTCAGCCCAGGACTTTTTTTGCTGCTACTGCTTAAAACTGAATCACCCACCACCAGAGTCTCTTGGGTCCCTCCTGGCTTCTCTAGCAACCCTGTGAGGAAAGAGTCCCCACACTAAAGCAGAAAGATAAAAGGGGAATTTCTCCCTTTTTTGAGCTGCTGATTTTCATGAGGCCAGAGGTTCAGAGCAGTTGCTGCAGATGAGTCCAAAGTGCCACTGAGATTAAGAATTCTTGCCTCATGGACCATTTCATTCCTCTACACCTGGCCATCAGAGCCTCTGCCAGGGAGTTGGTTGCAAGACAGATCAGAGAGACAGAAATGAAGTAATGGGCCTTTGAGAAGTAGTCATGATATTTAATCCAGCCAAAGAGCACTGAAACTTCTATCAGGGGAAGCAAGGCCACCTGCCGGGGGATGGACAGGTTCATCAGCTGACTTCCATGTTGACTGGGGTGGTTTACCCAATCACCTCACCCCAGACATAAGAACTGTCTTTCTCCAGTTCCAGACTTTCTGCTATTCAGTATTAGGGTGGGAACCACAGCCTCTGAACCCAGAGCCAGGGAAATGCCCAGACTGGAGCCTGGGACATAGCTGGAAGACAGGGGCTGTGGCTGCCAAGAGCTCTATGGTCTCCTGTGCAGGTGATCCTCAGCCAGGATGCAACTTCCACCCTCCATCATTTCACTTGATGAAGTGAAGTCAAGGCCTATGGGGGCCTTGACCCCATAGGCAAATCTGCTGATTGCAGCTTAAGGGTCCCACATCCTTCTAGATTCATGTAACTGACAATGCAAGAAGCTCCAGCTTGCCAAGCACTCTTTGTTCTCTATCCGACCACTAGTAGCTCTTCACCTCTGTCTTGGGAGAAACTAGATTCGGATCTTGAGTCTGAACATTATTTAGCTGTGCAGCCCTGCAAAACTTCCTTGACCATACTGTGCCTCTGCTTGCTCATCTGGAAAGTGGGAGATGAGGATAATTAATATTCACTTCCCAAGATTGCTCTGAGGACTCAGTTGGATAAAGTATGTCAAGTATTTAGCATAATACCTAGCTCAAAGTTCAATGAATGAAGATGACTTGCTTACTCATAAATAGAGAAGAATAGTAATCGTACAATCTGTGTAGTATTTTTATGGAGGAGATTATGATGTGTTCACCAAAGCACATCTTTTTGCTCTTAGGCCAGCAGGAAGACTAAATTTTCCCACTCTTCGTGGTCCATTTGGGGCCATGTGATTGAATTCTGGACAATAGAACCAATTAATGCCAACTCCAGGCCATAAAACCCCAGTGTAATCTGCCATGCATTTTGTTCCCACTTGGGGATGACCTTAGAGGCCATGCTGTAAAGTTGGTGGCATCACAAGCTGGAGGGGGCTTATGTCCCGAAATGACCACATGCAATGCAGACCCTGCCCGGATTTCCCTTGACCTCTGACATGAGTGAGCAACAGATTTTATTGGATATATAACTAAAGTCTGGGATAGTCTGTTTTATCAATTATCCTTCCCTGTCTAATACCTGAAGTGTTTGCATTAGTTTGTGTATCTACCTTTTAAAGAAGATCTTGACAAATGTCTGTTCCCTTATTTTGGCTGTATTCAATATATCTGTAATCAGACTGTCTCCCATGTTTGGCACGTATTTGGATTTTTCCTAGTTGTGTTAGGACATCCAGGTCTTACTACCCCAAGTCGATTTCTGCCTTCCTCTGAAGAAAAGCTATGTTCTCTGCTCATGCAGCTAGCTCTGTTGTGAGGGAGTGTTGAACTGCATCACAGAATCTGAGGACCAGAATGGGCCACAGGAATTTCCTGACTTAAAATTATCAGTTTCCCTCTGGTAACACTGAGTGCTAGTGAAGTATACTAATTTCCCAAAGACAACCAGCAAGTCTGTGGCAGAGTAAAGCGGAATTCTTCCCATCCCAGGTTGCTTCTAGTGCCGTAATCCTGGGAACCTTTTTTTTTTTTTTTTTAATCAAGAAATGTTCTCTGATGAAAACTATCTTTCTGTGTTGGGCTGGCCTGTGCTTATGATTTAATCCAGAATACAAGAGCTCAAGCCACTTCACCTCTAGATATAAACAATTTTATCTGCAACCCACTTATAAGAAAGATGTTGCCCTAGTATATGGCTCCTGTTGCTGTTTGGTTTGAATACTGACTGGTTATTGATTATGTAATTTGCCAGTACGTTGTTGAGAAGGATTTTTCATTCAGTATTGTACATTTGAACCCATGTTGTGTGTACCCTAACTTGATTCCCGCTGAGAACCACTACAACCGGGCAGACACTGTTGATTCCCTAATTCATGTCCGTAGCTCCAACATCTTCCTGAGCCTCGGGCTTAAATATACAACCTCCAACTCAATCACTCCCCATGAACACATACAGGACCTCTCAAACTTGACAAGCCCCAAGCTGAAGTCCTAATTGACCACCTCCGCAACACACCCACTCGCTCCCCTCACTCCCCTCTTTGCCCCTTGTCAGCTGAAGGCATCTCCATTTGCCGGGTTACCACTGCAGGACAAATCAAAATGGACTTTCCCATAATTCTGGTCTTCTCTTAGTCTCCTACTCCGGCCATTAGCAATGTCTGTCAGTTCAGCACTTCAAGTATGTCCCAGCACTGATCACGTCTCACCACCCTGGCTTGGGCCACCATCATCTTTGCTGGCTGACTGAAATCACCTTCTCCCTCATCTCCCTGCTTCCTCTTCTGCAGCCTTTGGTCAGTTCTCCCAAGAGTCTACAGTGTGACCTTTTCCATTGTAATCAGATCATATTGTTCCCTTGACTAAAACTCTTCAAGAGCTTTCCATCTCACTTAAAATACAGTCCAAGCGTCTTGGCCTTCTCTGCACACCCCTGCATGATCTGGCCTCCAAGCCCTCCGAGTCTTGTCTCTGCCCACTCACTCCGTTCCTCTGCACTAGCCACTGTCTTGTGCCTCTTTTTGTCCTGTAGCCAAGCCAAGTTTTCTCCCTCATCAAGCCCTTTGTGCTCAATGATTCTTTTTCCCAATTATCTCATGGCTACCTCCTCACTCTTTGGGCGCCACTCAGCCATGTCACCTCCCTGGAGACACCCTCTCATCCATCCTATCAAAAATGAGACCCCTATTTTTTCATGCTCCCCTTCCCCTGCCTCATTGTCTCTTAGCACTAACTGCTATTCTAAACATGTATCTTTATTTATCATTTTATCTAACATCTGTTTCTACTACCAGAATGGAATCTCTGTGATCTGCTATCTTCTCAGTGCCTGGCATACAAAGGCACTCAACTATAGGAATGAATGAATCATGCCGAGAGCTAGAAGGAGAGAAACGCTGTGAGGTGAGGGAAAGAATGTCGGGTCAAGGCCCAAAAGCCATGCATTCTGTTCTCATTTGGGCTTCTGCTCTGTGATCTTGTGCAAGTCACTGAACGTCTCTGGGACTCTGCTGCCCAGTGACAACAAGGGTTGGCAAACTTTTCTGTAAAGGGCCAGATAGGCAATATAGCCCCTGCCACAACTCCTCAACTTTGCTTTTATAGTGCAAAGCGACCACTCACTCAGTATGTAATGAATGGCCATGATTGTGTCCTAATAAAACTTTATTTACAGAAACAGGATATGTGGGCTGTGGCTCTGGGCCCGTAGTTTGCAAACCCTGGGTGGTTTCCAGAGCCCCTCATCTTTAATATTCTGAGATCTCTTCCTCTGCTCTTGTCATCATGTTAAAGAAATTGTGAGTAACTGTAGAGAAAGGCCCTGTTGCACCCAATTTCAGTGACAGTGGTATTTGCTAAAGCAGAAAGGATAATCTTAGAGAAGAGTTGCAGTTGTCAAATGGGGAGAAGCAGACAAAGAGAGAAAAATATCCCAGCGAGAGATAACCATACCCACAATCGGATCACACTTGAAAATAAGAGTTTGGTGCTGTTTGAGGGTGAGCAGTTATTCAGTTGGTGATTGAATGTCCTCCTTCTTAAGAGCATACTCCCAGATAAGTGACTTCATGTGAAAGTTATCTCAAGGCAGCATATTTATAGATTAATTTAGATCCTGAATTTAAGCACCTTGTAATGACTCACTGGACTCTTTTGTCATACTGTAAAATGACATCGATGTGTAAAAGCCCAAATCCACCCCTTACACACTCCCCCATGTGCTTTCTAATGTAGAGAACAGATGAGATTCATCCTAGACTGGTAACATGCAGATGGTGGGGGCGGGGATTCCAAATAGACATTACTGACCTTTATAGATAAATTTCTCCAGCCAAAGTTTAAGACCAAGCAAGTGGCAATTGCAGTTCCAGAGGTTGTCCTTGAGAAATAAAAGCCTCACGTTGGGCATGGATTCCAGGAGCGCTCGATCAAGCTGTTGAAGCTGGTTTTGTTGAACTGCAAGGATAGTTAGGTTCTCCCAAGTCTTGCCCAGGGATGTGGGAAGGTGGCTTATGTTGTTAGATGACAAATCAAGTTCCCTCAGCTGAGGGAGGGAATGGAAAAGTCTGCTTTCCAGGGAAAGGAGGGAATTCTGGGTTAGGGTTAAAACTTGCAAGTGCTGAAGCCCATGGAAAGCTGCAGGGGCCAGATTTGAAAGGGAATTGTTGGACAAGTTTAAGGTCATGAGCCATGGCACCGACCTAAATGCAAAAGCAGGAAGACGGTGTATCTGATTATCTTCTAAGTGCAGCATTCGAGTCTGAGGAGGTAAATGGGAAGGGATTTCAGCCAGACCCTGCCGGCTGCAGTCTACAAAGTTTGTAGGTGAGTGACAGCGGCACTTGTCCGGGCAGCTGCATGCCACCTGGAGCAGGACAATCACGCTGGAAAACAGGAGCAGTTCACCTACAACAAACACAAAGAAAGTGGGATAGGAACCAGTTTGTGAGGACTGGTATCAGTACTTTTTCCCTTTTCCAGGTAATGTGATTTCCAGCCAGGTAAGACCGTCTGCAACCTGAAAGAGAGGTTCTGTTACTCACCATCTTCAGTAGAGTCAGGCTGGACAAGTACATCCCCAGTGTCCATAACTGTTGCAATCTTTGTGCCAACCGTTGTCAGAAGCCTTGGGGAAGACGCTCTCTTAGTGTCTCCTGATTCAGAAGATGGAAGACTTAAGGATATCAAATAGATGGGTAAAAAAAAAATATTTGGGGGGGCATATGACCTTTAGAGGCCACAGCAGAATTATTTGGGGCTAGCTATGTAAAAGAGTGACAGAGGATTTCAGATATTCACATTTCTGTAAAGTATGCTGTAGAGCAGTGCTGTCTAGTACAACTTTCTGTGATGATAGAAGTTCCTACATCCGCTGCCCAGTATGGGAGTCAATAGCCAGATACAGTTACAGAGCTCTTGCAACTGCTGCAACCAAGGAAATGCGTTTTTATTTGTATTTCATTTTAACTATTTGAAACAAAAATAGCCACATGTGGCTAGTGGTGACTGTATTGGATGACGCAGATCTAAAGCACGGTCACATGTTGCTATCTATTGCCATTGTGATTCCCTGAGCAAGGATAGTGTCTGCTTTTTTATTCAAGATTTTAAAAATATAGAAAAGCGTTAAAAATAATATAATAAATACCCATGTTTCTGTAATAGTTCTGCAAGTCATTCATGGGTTATTGTACCTCCTTGATTCTTTTGTCTTTTACCTCAAAAGAGCAATGTATTACTTAAACAGTTGAACTGACTTTGATTCATGCCCAATTTCTATTTTCCAGCATAAGCCCCTTTTCCTCACAACATTACTGATGTGTCTCTCCAGACATTTTAAAAACAATAGTTAATAATGACAAAAATAGCAAATAGCTATATAGCATGCATTTTGAGCCACCTGTCATTCAAAGTGATTTCTAAATCTGTATATTAATTAATCCTCATAACCTTATAAATGTGGTTCCATCATTTTCCCCACTTGAAAGATGAGGAAGCTAGGCACAGAAAAGCTGAATCACTTCCCCAAATTCACACAGAGAGTAGGTATTATAGTAGGGCTATGATAAGGACCAGGGCTGTCTTTCTCCCTCCAGAGTCTGTCAGTCAGAGTTCTTAGCTGCTGTCAAACACACACACACACACACACACACACACACACAGTTTTGCATAACAATTTTGAAAAATCCAAATAAATGTAATCAACATGTCTCATTCTGCAATTTGCTCTGTTCACTCAAAACTGATCTATCCACATGGATATGTGGAAAGCTAATTCATTCCGTTTCAGTGCTGTCGCATATTCCATGGTGAGACCATCCCACATTTAGCATTAATATTTACCCCACCCTTATGAGGGGTAGTTGAGCTGCCGCAGTATTTTTCTTCATTGCAAATGATGCTATAAAACGGCATTCTTGTGCACACTGTCTTGGCTGTATAGGAACTGGGGGAGGGTCTCCGGAATCCAGAGAAATCTCCTCTCAGGGCTCAGAGAAGATGCTAACTTCACATTTTCTTAGACACTGCTCTGTCATTCACCAAAGTAGCTATATCACTCCCTTCTTTTTTTTCCTGAAACTTGAATTTCAAAATATGGCAAACATCTGTCAAGGGCATTTTATTATAAAATGGTAGAGGAATTCACGAGGCCACACGATAATATTCAAAATTCAAAATAGTTATCGGCTCATAGTGGAAGCTCTTGAAAGCAGTTTTGTTTGTTTGTTTGCTCGCTGGCTTGCTTGCTTGTTGTGGGCCTTAACTAGGGAAATACACAGTGTGGCTGTCATGCCCTTGAGCCTGATCCCCTGTCTTCCTTACATTCTCTACTGCGGCTCACAGTGCTCTGGGGCAATCTTTTAGAGAGCCTTCTGAAAGATTCTTCTCAGTGTAATTTAATTCAAAGGATGCAGAACATCACAGTCCCCTTCCCCTTTCCAAAATAGCAAAGAGCAAAACCACTGTTTTCCTTTCTCTAATTTTGCAAATAACCTAAATGACTCCTTTCAAAGCCAAAACATCTTCCCCTCAGTAATGAACGGACACCCGTCACTTTTAGCTGTGGGGCTCAAGCATTAATTAGTTGCAGGAAATTAATTCTGAAACCAGAGAACATGTTTGCCACAGAATCCACTAATCTATTAATGAAAGGCTTGCCTCTCTGAGATTGTAGCCAATTTGTTCTTTCTTTCTTTGGTTCCACTCTTCCCCTCAAAGGAATAATATATGAACTCCAACTCCAAGCACCATGTTTTCTATGAAATGGCTCATGACATGCCAACTGCGTATTCATGTCATGGCTGCATACATTTCCACCCTCTTCCTCTGCCCCTAACACACACAAACATAAATCTTCCCATGCAGAGACCTTTTCATATCTGTCCAGTCTTTTAAGACAGACGACTTGAAAAGAGACTTCCTGCAAAGACCTTTGTGACGGGATCCCGTCTTTCTCCCAAACAAGAACTTTTCCAATGGGAATTGATCAGGGCTCACCTTTCATTGTGGAGTCTCCACGGATGTCCTTGCTGACCTCTTAGCCCCCTTAATTAATGTGCAGAGCAGCACACCAGGGGCATGGCAGACTCAGAGCCCAGCTTTACATTCAGTCTTTCTGAAGCCTGCTGCCCGGGCTTTTCTTCAATGTAGAAAACAGTTGTTGCTTTCAAAAGACCACTTATTGCAGCAGCCCTTCCCCTTGTCTCCATCTGGCTGGGCTCAGTTTCCGTAAGAGGATCTTGGGATTGTGCCCCTCTTCTTTCTTAAAACGTTGGCCTCACCAGGATCATCCCTGCCTTTCCCATTCAGACGATGAGCCGCATAAAGAATGTTTGTCAAACCTTGGTGAACAGCTGTAGCATTCAAACATGACCCCGATGGCGCGGCCTTTTTGATTATTTAATCTGCTTGAAGTGCAGGGCACCAAAATAAAACTGCCTTCTTAATCCGGCCGTGGCTTCTGAATTCTGTTGACTTATTAACCATGCCGGGTCACCCGTCATCGGGTTGGGGAATGCTGGACGGGGACCCTCGACCTGGGGGTCGAGCAGCAGAGCCTGCAGGGTGCGTAATATGAGGACAAATTGGCCTGCTGGAGGCTGACATGGATTGCACAGTGCACTTCTTTGGTCACCGAAGGCTTATTCAGCCAACATCCCTGAGGATTAGCTGTGTTGACAGGGTCTTGATACCCTGAAATTCATAGCCATGGTTTCCTTTAGTGGACATCACAACCTTCCTTCTGGTGCCACAAATACTTCTCAGCTGCTTGCTGGCTTGTTTGCTGCCCCCACTACCCGCCCTTTCCCCAGCCGTCCCCGCCCAGTTGAATTGACCTTTAGGTTAGTGTGACTTTAGAAATACTTCTTAATCTTTCTTCGTTTCCCTGATGCTGAGGTCCTGGCCCTTCCCTCATTTTTCACATATAAAACAATAAAGCCGCCCCCTGTGAGCATCAGGCGTCAGTCAACTGTGACTGTTCTCTAATTGAAGCTGCAGGGAACTTTCCCACCAGGGACTGGAACCGTTTCTTTGAATGTGCAAATCCCCTGCCATTTGCCGAGGTGGGGTTTCAATGCCTAAAGCTGCCCTTCTAGATAAACCAAATGTTCTGCTGTGTGTAACTGTGTGTATACTTTTATGGAGGCAGCTTGAAGGGCAGTCCCTGGCTCCAGGAAGTATAATTAAGCCGTTGGATGTGGGCTCTGGAATCAGATGAGTCCAGAGTTGATATTCAGCTCCACCGTTGCCAGCTTTCTGTCTCCAGGAAAGTGACTTCCCCACCCAGACCCCCATCCCTGACATGGGGACAACAGTACCCCTTACTTTACTAGGCTGTGCCCAGGATTAAATATGGCAGTACACATCATGACCCGGAGTACCTTCATACATGTTCACAGTTTCCCATGAGAATGGCTTCCAGGACTTGCATGCTGCCAGCATTTGAGGACAACCTGGAACCATCAGCAGGAGGGAATGTCCCGAGGGAGGTCCCAAGAGAGAACCCTGGAGCCTGGCCCCTCATACCACTCTGCAGGTACAGAGGGAAGAGGCCCCTTGTGAATTGAAGTTGACAAAAATCAAATTTTGGTTATTTTCAACAACCTGTACTTTGGGAACTCTTTCACCCCTTGGCCAAGCCCCTTCTGACCCCACAGAACCCAGTATATTCATCCTGCCTCTTTCAGAAAGCCCACTTTACCCAACCTGCCATCTGTTGTCCTTCTCTCCGACATATTTTGAGCATCACAGATACAATGGGCAAAAGTCAGGTGTAGGTGACAAAACAAGTCAGGTGATGAAGAGCCACTTAAATCTTCACAACTCAAAGATTTCTTCCCTCCTTCCTTCCAGTCCCTCCTCCTAGCTATCTACCCGTTGCAGGTGCACAGAATTTAAAGATAATAATTTCCTGATAATACGTAACCATCAATGGCCCATGTTAGAATTCAATCACTCATTCATCATAACACAACAAACACTTGTGGACTTAACGTTCCCTCTAAGAACTAGAAAGTTACTAATAACTCACATCTACCTGTGTGCCTCTGTTTCCCTGGGGCAGAAACATTCTTTTGTGAAGGCCAGATAGTAAATATTTTAGACCTTAAGGGCCATCTATCTACATTGCAGTTATTGGATTCTGCTGCTATAGTTTGGAAACAGCCAAAGACAATACATAAATCAATGGGTGTGCCTGTATTCCAATAAAACTTTATTTACAAAAACAGGTAGAGGTATGGATCGGTCCACAGGCTGTAATGTGCAAACCCTGGTTATCCTATCCTCTGGCTTCTGCTCTCACTAGTCCATCAGCCCACCTGTCACCCACCCCAACCCCCACCACCCAGGCAAACATATTCACTCTCCTGTTGCCTCATCTGTGAAATGAGGGCGTTGGGTAAGATGATCTTTAAGATTTCTTATGTCCAGAACCTTGTTATTCTGGTCAAAAGGCATAAATTGGCTTGAAAAGCCCTATACTTACCAACTTAAAGGGGCTTGGACAGAAAGATAATTTAACTACCTCATTAGGTTATTGTGAAGCTATTAGGCTGTGTCTGTAAGGCCCAACTCTTAGGCTTGGCGGCCTGAAAAAGATGAATATGTTGACAGCTGAATTGGATGTTGGAGGTCAAGACCCTGGCAGAGAACCAAAGGCAGTCACTGACACTTCTGGTTAAAGCCAGGCTGTTAGGCTAAGTGGAAGCACACTTTCATGGTGCTTATTCCCTAAAGTTGTGAGGTCCTAGGAAAGTCTCAGGCTCTCTGAGCATCAGCATCCTAGTTATAGAATGTAGGTAATACCTGCCTTGCAGGAGGAAGGAGGATCAAGTGATAAACTTAAGTGCCTAGCACATATCTAGTAGAGCAAGTGATCCAAAGTGGCGTCTCAGCCAGGCATCGTGCCTCACACCTGTAATCCCAGTACTTTGGAGGCTGAGGCAGGTGGATCAACTGAGGTCAGGAGTTTGAGACCAGCCTGGCCAACAAGGTGAAAGCCCATCTCTACTAAAATACAAAAATTAGCCGTGCATGGTGGTGGGCGCCTGTAATCCCAGCTACTTGGGAGACTGAGGCAGGAGAATTGCTTGAACCCAGGAGGCAGAAGTTGCAGTGAGCAGAGATCGTGCCCTGCACTCCAGCCTGGGCAATAGAGTGAGACTCCTTCTAAAAACAAAACAAAACAAAAAACAAAGTGACGTACTCCTGTTATTAGCAGTGTGGATTTGCAGACCTCAAAGAGTCTGAGCTGGCTGCTCCCACCTAAAATGCATATGCCGGGGAACTCGTAGAGAAATCCCAGAGCTGAAGGGTTCCTAGGAACATCTGCTTACTGCCCAAGGGTTTTTTTTGGTTCTCTTTTACTCATGCTGACCCCAATTGAGGGTTAAAAGATGGACAATGCACACATGGACTGGACTGCCCCCCGGACACTTGGATGTGAAGGCGGATTGATTTATTCCGTCTGACCTCAGCCAAGAGAACAAAGGGAGGGTGTGTGATATGCATGCTAATGCTGGGCAGCGCCTTCTCCCTTCCTCCCTCCCTCCCTCCCTCCCTTGGTGAGCAGATCCAAGAGGTGGCAAGACAGCCATGCTTGCAAAAAGAGGAACCATGGAGAGATGCTGAACATCAGCTCAGGCCAGAGACGCTCCCTAAAGAGGAGAACTGCACTGTGAGGGGCTTCTAGTCCCAAGACTTAGCAGGACCCCAGTTTCCCACTTGGGAGCTTCAGATGCACCCTTAGAGTAAAACTGTGTTTATCATCACACTGATATTTCAAGAATTTCCACACTTCTGAGACATAACTCTTTTTCCCTTTTTAAGCCAGAATGTTTTCTAACATGTCAGTTTACTTATCATTTAATTTCCCTGGAATAAAAGAAATCAGTGATTATTAATGCTGAAATAAAATTGACAATGTCTTGAAATCCAGGATGTAGTAGCTCTTTCTCCCAGGCAATATTATACAGGTATTTAAAAAGAATGAAAGCCAGGCTCAGTGGTTCACACTTGTGATGCTAGTACTTTGGGAGGCTGAGATGAGTGGATCACTTGAGTGCAGGAGTTTGAAGCCAACCTGGGCAACATCATCTCTACCAAAATTACAAACAATTAGCCGGGTGTGGTGGTGAGCACCTCCGAGCTACTCGGGAGTTAGGAGGATCACCTGAGCCCAAGAGATCAAGGCTGCAGTGAGCCAAGATCACGCCACTACATTCCAGCCTGGGCAACAGAGTGAGACCCTTTCTCAAAAAAAAATAAAAAAAATAAATAACAAATAAAAAGAATAAGTTAGAACTAAATATACCCATCTGGAATAATATTTATAATAATATATGAGACAAAATAAAGCAATTGGAATAGGAAGCATATTGTATAATCCCATTTATATTCAAAAAAGTGTTACAGATGGAGGATTTAACCCTATAAATATGCATTGGTTTGCCTGAAAATGGAATAAGCGGGGAAGATAAGCCACCAAACTGATAATACTGATAACTTGGAGGGGAGACTAAAGAAAAAGAGGGGAAATAAACTTTCTGCTTATACTTCTGTATATTCAACCCACTACAAGAAGTGTGTCTCAGCACATGCACACATATGTTCATTGCAGCACTGTTTTCAATAGCAAAGACTTGGAACCAGCCCAAATGCCCATCAGTGATAGACTGGATAAAGAAAATGTGGCACATACACACCATGGAATACTGCACAGCCATAAAAAAAGAATAAGTTCATGACTTTTGTAGGGATATGGATGAATCTGGAAACCATCATTCTCAGCAAACTGACACAAGAACAGAAAACCAGACACTACATGTTCTCACTCATAGGTGGGTGTTGAACAATGAGAACACATGGGCGTGGGGAGGGGAACATCATACAGCCGTCTGTTGGAGGTAGGGGGCCAGGGGAGGGACAGTGGGGATAGGGAGGAAAAGAAAGGAAAATTCTTTACCTATAATAATGGAAAGTCAGTACACGATATGTGAAAAAAACATTATGTCTAAGAAGCAAGTAGAGGCACATTTCCTGTACTAGAATATTCAAGATGTCTCACCTCCCAGTGACTAGTCGAGTTATCTGTGTAAATATAGCATGCCTAGAGTTTGCCTCCTCAGTCACCAAGAGGA